GGCTGAGGCAGACTGAGGCTGAGGCCGAGGCCGACGGCAGACTGAGGCTGAGGCTGAAGCAGGCTGAGGACTGAGGCTCAGGCAGGCTGAGGCTGAGGCTGGCGGAGGCTGAGGCCGAGGCTGAAGGCAGACTGATGCTGAGGCTGAAGCAGGCTGAGGCTGGGGCTGAGGCAGGCTGAGGCTGAGGCAGGCTGAGGCAGGCTGATGCTGAGGCAGGCTGAGGCTGAGGCTGAGGCTGATGCAGGCTGAGGCTTCGGCAGGCTGAGGCTGAGGCCGAGGCTGAAGGCAGACTGAGGCCGAGGCTGAAGCAGGCTGAGGCTGAGGCTGAGGCATTCTGAGGCTGAGGCTGAGGCAGGCTGAGGCTGAGGCAGGCTGAGGCTGAGGCTGAGGCTGATGCATACTGGGGCTGAGGCAGGCTGAGGCTGAGGCCGAGGCTGCAGGCAGACTGAGGCTGAGGCTGAAGCAGGCTGAGGCTGAGGCTGAGGCAGGCTGAGGCTGTGGCGGAGGCTGAGGCAGGCTGATGCTGATGCAGGCTGAGGCTGAGGGAGAGGCTGATGCAGGCTGGGGCTGAGGCAGACTGAGGCTGAGGCCGAGGCCGACGGCAGACTGAGGCTGAGGCTGAAACAGGCTGAGGCTGAGGCAGAGGCAGGCTGAGGCTGAGGCTGAGGCAGGATGATGCTGAGGCAGGCAGAGGCTGAGGCTGAAGCTGATGCAGGGTGAGGCTGAGGCAGGCTGAGGCTGAGGCCGAGGCTGAAGGCAGACTGAGGCTGAGGTCGAAGCAGGCTGAGGCTGAGGCTGAGGCAGGCTGAGGCTGAGGCAGGCTGAGGCTGAGGCTGAGACAGGCTGAGGCTGAGGCTGTGACTGGGACTGCCGTTGTCACTGCGACTGTCATCGCGAATGCGACTTCGACTGCGAGAACAGCAGAATTCTACAACTGGATTCTCATGTGAATCTTAAGGGGAATGCTTCCATACATGCTTCTACACATCGCTGTTAGGTTGCTTTGCCTGGATAATTCTATTATGTATGTTGGTATACACACATTTTACTACCATACATTCTTGAGATCGGCTTGATATTATTCGGCATTTTATGCATGAGTGTCTTGGGGCGCCTCGACATTTGTGACGCTCGATAGGATATATTTGATTTCGCACCGTAGATGGCTGTTGATTCTGAATTACATGATATGGGCTGGCAATTGGACATAAACGCACCCAAACAGGTCGTCCGCCAGTAATCTTATACATTTGCAGAGATCCTTTTCTTTATCATGGAACGGCGTCAGAGAACGACCGATGCAAAGCATTATCCAGGACCATTTCTTCCCGTCTTAATTCTCAGTGTACATTTGGGGCCTGGAGTGCGTCATATCATGCGTGATATATCTTCTCATATATCATATGCAACTATCCTGCTATTCATCGGAATGGGCGTGGAGTGCCCTGGCAATCTGTGGGGCCTGGAGAGTCCCCATGAGTGCGAGCGCTTTATTTGGATCGAGTTGTCGTCGCAAGTCTGATCCGTCTGACCGTCTGACTTTTACGCGCGCGCCGCGTCGGTGGCTACGCCAGCATCGAGGGATGCTGGTGCCACTTCTCTTTTCTTTTTCCCCTGCTCTCCCATCCTTGTCGCCTGTGGTGGCGGAGCATCGCCCAGGAGTGCCGAAGCGTTTTTTGGGGCGCACCCTGGGCCCGCGAAGTCGGGTAGATACTCATAAGTACCCCGTGTGGCGGGCTTGGTTTTCTCTCCACCTTCCTAGTCAATGCGCCCTCGTTCGTTTGGGGGGGTTGTGGGTGTGACGGGGCTGTGAGTGGATCTCGCACTTCTGTTCCCGATCCCTGCCGTTGTCTCCCGTGGGACTGAGGCCATCGGGGGCTGGCAGGTTTCGGGGCGGTGTGTGTGTGTGTGTGTGAATGTGTGTGTGTGTGTGTGTGTGTGCGTGTGTGTGTGTGTGCGTGTGTGTGTGTGTGTGTGTGTGTGTGTGTGTGTGTGTGTGTGTGAAGTCCGCCCACTTCCCTATTGTATTTTTCCGCAACTGTATTGGCTCAGGTATTGGCTAACTATCCTTGAAGTACTGCTTGCTACGCAGTGCCTTGGGGAAGGAGTTTCGCTCCTCGCCTCTATCTACGGACCCTGTGCAGGAATGGCCCCTGGGCCGTCTCCCTGTGCTCGCACGTGTCGTCGGCGTCGGGCCGCTGCGCGGGGCCACTGGCGCGCCCGACGGCGAGGCCGCCGCCGGGGCGTGTGGCGCCAGGCTTTCCGCGCGTACTTCGACCCCGTCGAGTCGCGGGGGCGCGGCGGCGCGCATCCGCGCATCCACTTCTGGCTCCTGCGCCCGATGACTGGCGCTGTCCTCGCGCGGCCGCGCGCGTCGGACGTCGACGGCATCGAGGGGCGCTGGAGGAAGTGGAGGGCGCGCGTGCTCGCCAGGGTTGGCAGCGCGCAGTTCGACGCGTCGGAGGAGGTGGGCCGGCAGCTGGGCATGGGCGGGCTGGAGCGGCTGCCGCCGCTTATAGAGGTTACATTTGGAAAGCGAGTTTTTTTTGGGGGGGCTGAGGTACACCCCCCAGTTTTGCCCGAGAGCGCCTTCTTGCGTTGCAGGGTCCACGCGGATTTTCACCCTGGAGCGGTTCCAGGCTGATTGTCCGTCCATCTGGGGTGCTCCCCAAAACCGCAGGTGCTCCCGGGGATGCGTGGGGAGGTGTGTACCCTAGTGTCACAAGTGGTCGTTTTCCAAGAAGAGATGTTTTTTCCCCTGGGGCCTTCAGCTCGATCCCGCATGTGGAGGGCCACTTGGATCCCAAGTGGGAGGACCCCTAATGGTTCCAGTGTGATTCTGGATTTTGAAACAGGTAGATGCTTTTATGCCATCGGTTTCGCTTTTAAGTCGCCTAGTAGTCGCCTGCGATGCCGGTAATTATTATGTTCCGATCGATTGTAGGTCGCCCCCTCGTCGCCCCGTGTTTTCTGTGCCTTCGTCAGGCCTCTGTCGTCGCCGCGGTCAGGCGCAGCCCGAAATCTGGCCAGCATGAACCGTAGGAGGGACTTGGGGACTGATATGAAACATAGACACAGACACGCTGAAACGTATATTCCGATGTAAATCAACGAAATTCCGGAAAGAGGAGGGGACATGGAATTCGTGTCTATCTATTTGTGTTTCCTTGGGTCCTTTCCAAAACATTTTGGGCGAGGCCCTTGTGGGCCGCCCGCATGGGGCGCGGAGGTCTTTCCTCGGTCTGGGCCTGAAAGCTGTCCCGCTTCTGGGTGGCCGCGCCAGATCGCAGAGGAAACCGCTCGTTGCAGAGAGCAGGGCGCGAACGGAGGCGACCCAGCGGAAGCGAGGCCAGGTTTTATAACAACATAGCCTTCTAAGAAGGCAGGGGCAGCTTCTCGCAAGGGGCAACATTCTACATAAGGCAACCTATGACATGGCAGGGGGGCTCTCAGAAGAGTAGTGCTTTCTGAGAAGTCATGCTCCGCACGCGCTTTCGGTTGGGGAGGTTTGAGAAAGCCAGCCCCGTGACCCTTTCGGACCGACCCCCTGCTCGTGGCCAAGAGGTAGGGAGGGCAGGTGCAGCCTGCGAGAGGGTCGATGGCAATGGAGTCCGCGATGTTGGTACGTACTCGCTCCCCGGTGGACGGTGAGGGGTCGAAGCAAAACGTTAGCCGACGGCCCAGAAGAAGAGTAGATCCCGATACCGCTGCCCTGCCCTCGTTTTCCCTCTTTTTGGGCCTCCTGGGACGCCAGCGTCGCCACCGCTGTATCCGCCTCGAAATTATGATCAGAACGCACCCCGGGAAATGTCTAGGGAGTGACGCGGTATCGGTACTTTTTGGTTTCCCCAATATGGCCTCAATCTGTGTGTGTGTGTGTGTGTGTTTGTGGGGCCTTGTTGATGCTTCGCAGGGAGCTCTGAAAAGCAACACAATGGAGGCCGACTCACGCAAGTCGCAGCACAGCGTGATTCTTCAACAGTATCACGCTGTTGGGCTCCCACGGCGGCGTGCCATTGATATTGCTTTTGCTTCCTGTGTGACTGGTTGCGCCGCCGCCGCTTTTTCATATGTGGTTAGGTTTTTACAATGTGCTGGTCTTTGCTGGTTGCAGTCGTTGGTAGATGGTGCATCTTCCCCGCCCCGCATCCTCAATTCCTTTCTCCAGCCATCTAGACCTCCCAGATGGGGTCGGAGGATCGCGCCGCATCGCCGACGCATCGCCGATGCGGCTCGATGTGCAGCCCGATGTGCTTCACGTCGACGTCGCCATTGCATCGCTGACGTCGACGATGCATCGCCAGTGTATCGCCGATGCATTGCCGATATATCGGCGATGCGGCGCGATCCTCCGGCCCCATCTAGTCCGATCCCATCTAGGAGGCCTCTTAACCAACATTCGGTTCGATCAACTGTCGGCCACTCAATTCAGTCAGACTGCTCAATAATCTAGCTGTGGGTACAGTTTCAAAGTAGCTGGGATGTTGCCCCCTGCGCTTGCTGCTCCCACTCTCATTTGACACGTTCCTTTTTGTTCGTGCTTCATCGTTCGTCTCAGCTTGGCAATGCGCCAAATTTAGTGCGCTTCATACATTGGGTGTATACCTAGCCGTTCGACCTTGTATGTTGCGAGTTGTGTTGGGTAGTCAGTTCATCTATATCAGAAGTTTCGTGATAGTTTGCCACTTTGCGTATACGGGATAAAACCAGTCTCGCTTGCTCCGGCTACCCCCAACGTTCAAACAGTTAGACCTTACCGACGTTATCTCACGGATCGATGCTTCTTCGCACCGCCCACTTGCTTAAAGTGACCACGGCCTCAAGAGTACCCGTCACCCCGATGCCCACTCCACATATCTAAATGTCAAATGGGACTGCTTCACGCTGTTGGCAGAGCCCCCGTCCACGATTCGCAGCCGATCTCAGGCTCAAGTGAAGGGTCAGAGCCGCTCGCCTGGACGGCCCCCACGCGACGCCTCACAAAGTTCTAACTCTTCATGATGGCGCGTGCCCTCGCGGCTCTCGTGCTCATGGTGCTTCCGTGCGCGGCGCTCAACAGCCTCAACTGGAGGCTCTTGCCGTCGTCGGAGCCCGCAGGTCAGCAGGCGGAGCTGGATGCAGGCCTCGACAGCGTGGTCATGATGCAGACAGTCGCCACCCCGCTCAAGGAGCAGGAGGGCTTCGCGCACTTCGCCTTCGACGACGACCTCGACGACCAGGTTGTGCTGACAGCCCCGTGGGCGGAGGAGGACCTCTGAGGCCCGCGGTCGACAGCAGCTCTTCTCTGCGGCCTCTGTGCGGTGCCGTATTGGCAGCCTCTGGACGGGTGGCCTGTACATTCTTGCCCGAAGAATGCGCATTCTGTCCCATCGAATGGCGACTCCTCCTCACCCCCCTCCACCGGTTGATCCTTCCGTTCTCTCGGCACCACTCAAACATCCTTGGCACCATATGTGCGCCGGCCGCGCGCGGGCGACGCGGGCGCTCGGAGATCTCGCAGCAGAGAAACTCCGTGGCGGGCGCCTTCTGGCCGTGCCGCGAGGGAAACGAGCTACTACCGGATGTCGTGCAACAGGTTCGGGCCGGACGTGCGGCTCCCAGGGAGGCACACAGCACTGGCACGTCCTCAGCCGTCCCGTCCTCACGTCTCCTCTTCCACGGGCCCCTCGGCCAGGGCCGCGCTTGGCGAGGCCGCGGTGGCCCGCCGCAGCGACATGGGCGGCTTCGGGGGCGGCTTGCGTGGGGCGCCGTGCCCCCCCCCCCCCCCCTCCGAGCCCTTCCCGATGCAGGGGACCCCGTGCCCTGAGCCCCCCCCCGTTCGTGTCGGACGGGAGGGGTGGGGGCGGGGCGCCTGGGGAAATGGAAGGTAGCGAAAAGGAAGTGGAGAGACCCTCTGAGCCATGACGCGCGTTCTGACCCTCCTCTCCCCCCCGTCTCCTCCCATCAAGTAACGCTCTCCCCCCCCCCAGTGCGTCCCCAGCACTGCCGCAGTGCGTCCAGCATTACAGTCTGCGGTTCCAGACCCGCACAGGGGGGGGGGGGCGTTACTGTTACGTTATGCCCCCCCTGCTCCTACTCCTCCCCCTCCCATAACGCCTGTTATCGCCGCGAATGCACAGTAACCAAATATGCTCTCCTGTCTGCATCTTTTCACTTCCCCCCTTCGCTCTCCGGCGACACAAGCTTTGGACGGTCCGCGCGGATCTCTTGGATCTGGCTTGGCTTCCCCTTGCGTCGCCCCTGGCGCTGCCCGTGGCGCCGCCCGTGGCGCCGCCCCTGGGGTGCGCCGCGCGCCATGGCGAAAGGTCCAGCGACGGCTCAAGAGCTGTGCGCGGACCTTCGAAGACTTGTGTGTGTGTGTATGTTAATGCAATAGGTACGTGCCCATGTGTGTATATATGTCTATTATGTGTACACATACACATCCAGTGGGCGGCCCATGCCAAGGAACACCCTGCTTGACTCCAGGGTGGCCTGGGTTTCTTTGGTTTCGACGGTTCTGCTGTAGAATGCGTGACGTTGCCACACCAAAACCACATGACGTCCAGGGGTCTCAGGGTTGGGTTTCTTGTGGAAGGTTTCTTGTGGACAGGCCTCCACTGTATGTGTGGGAGTATATATTCACATAATAGTAAAGTATTTTTCTATTTTGGGAGCCCTTGCATCTGCGCCTCTTCGGCCAATTCTTTGCCCACGCTTGGTCAGACAAAAAAACGTAACGCGGGCGTCCACCGGGCTTGCATCCTCACCGCGCGTCCTTTTCATGCGCGTGGGCGTACCATTTGCCTACCTCTGTTCGTCGCCCTGGTGTCGAACGCGCCGTCAGTAGTGCGGATTCTCTGGCACCTCCTGGGACGCTGCCAGAGGAACTTGCGGAACCTCCAGCCCTGCTCTTCGACACTTCCTTACCGCAGGTCGCAGATCGCGGACGGGGACCGTCGTCCATCGAGGCACGTGTGCGACCAGCAGCGATCTTCTCGCGAACCCTGGACCTGTATTGGAACCAGTGAGAGTGCGCCAGCGGCTTCCGACGACTTTGACGCTTGAAGTTGTCGACCGCAGACAACCCGCAGGCCCCCCCCCTCCTTTCGCAGAGAGTCGCAGCGTGTGCTGTTGGCGGATGCCCGCACGACCGCGGCCGCCCGCGAGCCAGCACTCGACGGGGCAGGATGTGCAGGGTGTGGAGCGGTGACGCGTGCCTGGCCTGGCCTCGCTCTGCTTCTGTACCCCCTGCCTTGACCGCTCTGGGGCAGCCGTTCTCGACTCGGGCCGCCCGCCAGGCCCGCGGGGCCCGCCCACGACCGGCCGCCATGGCCGCTCAGCGCCGGCTGGCCGCCGCCTCCGTGGCCCCGTGCGCCAGGACCCGCCCAGCCCCCTGTCTGCCACCTGTCCGCCACCTCCTGCGCCTCCGCCTCCGCCTCCGCCTCGTCCTCGCCTCCTCGTCGTTCCAGCTGCGTCTCGCCGTTTTCATGGCAGCGCCGACTGGATTCGCAGCGTCGGCCTGTGTGTGTGTGTGTGTGCGCGCTTGTGCGTGGCTTGTCGGGGGGGGGTGCGCTTCGTTGCAAGAAGGAAGTGGACCCCCCCCCCATTCCCCCCATCCCCCACCCCCCCATCCCCCAACAGATCTGTTGGCTCACCACTCTTCTGCGAGTTGCGTGCCGGCGTCTGCTGGCAGGCTCCCGTCTCAGCCAGCCCCGGGATCCACAGCACCTCGCGGGTGTGGGGAGCGGGGCTGTGCGAGAGCGGGCGAGAAGCCGATCTCGCTCAAGCGCCGCAGCTTGTGAGTGAAAATGGCAGTGCTGTGCCAGCGCGGCGCATGCTCCATTTTTGTCGCGCACATCACAAGTTTTGGTGGTCCCGCCCTTGCGCGGCACGTGTAATACTCCTTTTACCAAGTCGTCGGAAGCGGGGCCACGAGCGAGCGTCTTCCCTTGGCGAGGAGGGAACGCGTCCAGATCCGAATGCCAAATATCACAGTTGATCCTATGTTGTGAGAGGCAGGGAGGGAGGGAGTAGACAGGGCCCTCTGACTCGCTCGGCCTGGCTAACTTGACTCCTGCTCCTGCTGCTCGCACTCGAACTCCTATTATTACTCTATTCCACTGTACCCTTCTCTATCTACTCTACTTTGCTCCTACTGTGGAGTAACGTAGGGAAGAATCTACCATACATAAACAACGCGAACTTATGCCGTACTCGTACTCAGCTCTGATACGCTCCTCTGCCCTGCTCTACTCCTCTCTACTTCGCTATAACATGTTTTTGTGATATCCGGCTCTACTTTATCATCTACCCTTCTCTACCCGACTCTTGCTATGCTCCCTGATTATCCGATCTTACTCTACCCTACCATACACTACCCACCCGAACCTACCCTAACGTACCCTGCTCTACTCTACCCTGCCCTACCAAACCCTGCCCAGTCCTACTGTTTCCACTTTACTCTATTCTACTCAGCTCTACTGTAGTCTAGTCTAGTCTTTCCTAGTATAGTCTACTAGTCGAGTCTGTTCTAGTGTAGTCTACTCTGCTATACTATATGCTAGTATATTGTGGTCAATTCTATCATACTCTGTTATACTCCACACTACTCTACTCCCGTCTGCTCTATTCACTTGTACTCCTCTACTCTACTCTACTCCACTCTACTTTACTCTACTCTTATCTACTCTACTCTCTACTCTCTACTCTCTACTATCTACTCTCTACTCTCGACTCTCTACTCTCTACTCTCTACTCTCTACTCTCTACTCTCTACTCTCTACTCTCTACTCTCTACTCTCCACTATCTTCTCTTTACCCTCTACTCTCTACTCTCTTACTCTCTACTCTCTACTCACTACTCTCTACTCTCTACTCTCTACTCTCTACCCTCTACTCTTAACTCTCTGCCCTCTACTCTCTTCTCTCTACTCTCTACTCTCCCCTCTCTACTATCTACTTTCCTCTCTACTTCCCTCTACTCTACTCTCTATTCTCTGCTCTGCTCCGCTCTGCTCCGCTCCGCTCTGCTCTGCTCTGCCCTGCTCTGCTCTGCTCTGCTCTGCTCTGCTCTGCTCTGCCCTGCTCTGCTCTGCGCTGCTCTGTTCTGCTCTGCACTGCTCTGCTCTGCTCTACCCTACTCTACTCTACTCCTATTCCTACTCTACGCTACTCTTATTCCTCTACTCTGCCCTACTTTGCTCTACTCTACTCCTACGCTATTCCTAGTACTCTACCCTACTCTACCCTACTCTACTCTACTCCTATTCCTACTCTACTCTACCCTACTCTACTCCACTCTGCCCTACTCTACTCTACCCTACCCTACACTGCCCTACTCTACCCCTATTCCTACTCCTACTCTCTACTCCTACTCCTGCTCCTACATCTACTCTTACTCCTGCTCCTGCTCCTACTCCTACTCGTATTCCTACTCCTACTAGTCCTACTTCTAGTCTACTCTACTCGTCTCTTCTCTGAAATGCTCTGCCCTGCTCGGCTCTACGTTACTCTACTCCTACTACTCCTACTACCACCCCTACTCCTACTCGTACTCCTACTCCTACTTCTACTTCTACTCCTACTCCTACTCCTAATCCCACTCCTGCCCATACACCTACCTCTACTCCTACTCCTACTCCTACTCCTACTCCTACTCCTACTCCTACTCCTACTCCTACTCCTACTCCTACTCCTACTCCTACTCCTACTCCTACTGCTACGCATACTCCCACTCCTACTCCTATTCCTACTCCTACTCCTATTCCTACCCCTACTCCTACTCCTACTCCCACACCCACACCCACACGCACACCCGCACCCACACCGACTCTACTCTACTCTACTCTACTCTACTCTACTCTACTCTCCTCTCCTCTCCTCTCCCTTCCTCTCCTCTCCTCTCCCCTGCTCTGCTCTGCTCGGCTCGGCTCGGCTCTGCTCTGCTCTGCTCTGCTCTGCTCTGCTCTGCCCTGCTCTGCTCTGCTCTGCTCTGCTCTACTCTACGCTACGCTACGCTACGCTACGCTACTCTACGCTACTCTACGCTACTCTACGCTACTCTACGCTACTCTACGCTACTCTACGCTACTCTACTCCACTCCACGCTACTCTACTCTACTCTACGCTACTCTACGCTACTCTATGCTACTCTACGCTACTCTACGCTACTCTACGCTACTCTACGCTACTCTACGCTACTCTACGCTACTCTACGCTACTCCACTCTACTCTACTCTACTCTACTCTGCTCTGCTCTACTCTACTCTACTCTACGCTACGCCACGCCACGCCACGCCACGCCACGCCACGCCACGCCACGCCACGCCACGCCACTCCACTCCACTCCACTCCACTCCACTCCACTCCACTCCACTCCACTCCACTCCACTCCACTCCACTCCACTCCACTCCACTCCACTCCACTCCACTCCACTCCACCCTACCCTACCCCACCCGACCCGACCCGACCCGACCCGACCCGACCCGACTCGACTCGACTCGACTCGACTCGACTCGACTCGACTCGACTCGACTCGACTCGACTCGACTCTACTCTACTCTACTCTACTCTACTCTACTCTACTCTACTCTACTCTACTCTACTCTACTCTACTCTACTCTACTCTACTCTACTCTACTCTACTCTACTCTACTCGACTCCACTCCACTCCACTCCACTCCCTCCACTCCACTCCACTCCACTCACACTCCACTCCACTCCACTCCACTCCACTCCACTCCACTCCACTCCACTCCACTCCACTCCACTCCACTCCACTCCACTCCACTCCACTCCACTCCACTCCTCCACTCCACTCCACTCCACTCCACTCCACTCCACTCCACTCCACTCCACTCCACTCCACTCCACTCCACTCCACTCCACTCCACCACTCCACTCCACTCCACTCCACTCCACTCCACTCCACTCCACTCCACTCCACTCCACTCCACTCCACTCCACTCCACTCCACTCCACTCCACTCCACTCCACTCCCCCACTCCACTCCACTCCACTCCACTCCACTCCACTCCACTCCACTCCACTCCACTCCACTCCTACTCTACTCTGCTCTACTCTACTCTACTCTACTCTACTCTACTCTACTCTACTCTGCTATACTTTTCTCTACTCTACTCTTCTCTACTCTTCTCTACTCTACTCTACTCTTCTCTACTCTACTCCACTCTACTCTACTCTACTCTACTCTACTCTACTCTACTCTACTCTACTCTACTCTACTCTACTTGACTCGACTCGACTCGACTCTACTCTGCTCTACTCTACCTGACTCTACTTCTACTCCTACTCCACTCCACTCCACTCCACTCCACTCTACTCGACTCTGCTCTACTCTACTCTACTCTACTCTACTCTACTCCACTCCACTCTACGCTACTCTGTTTTTTTGTTTTTTTTCCTGCTCTACTCTACTCTTCTCCACTCTACCTTTACTTTACCACCATTCGAGTCTGCTTCTACTATGTTGTATTCTACGTCGCTATACTATGTTCTTCTTCCCTCCACTCCACTCTACTCTGTTCTGCTCCACTCTACTATACTTTACTCTAGGCTGCCTTTCCCTGATCTACTCTACCCCACTCGATTCTACCCAAATCTACTCTACCTTCCTGGCTCTGGTCTACCATCTGCCCTACCTTACAGCGTTCTGTTCTTCTACTCTACTCTACCCTACCCCATCCCCATGCCCTAGTGTATTCTACTGCTCTGCCCTGCCCTACCCAGTTGAAGTCAACTCTTATCTAATTTGCTCTTCCCTACTCGTCTACTCTTCGCTGTGATACTCTACTGGAGCTCATTGAAATGGCAGAGGAAGCCATTGCAACAGCAGAGGGAATCATTGTAATAGCAGAGGAAGGCACTGCACTGAGTTTGACCGTGCAAGGGCTACATCGAGGAAGACATCACTGGACCATTTTTCTGTACATTGAGCTTGGACTCCCATAGTCAAACCGACTTGGATAACAGCTACGGATACCATTGCAACCGTTGGGGGGACGCATAGGGGGGGAGCCTTTGCAACCTATCGGGACAAGATAGGGGGGGAGGACCACCGTACTTGTTCTCTATGCATGGAGTTGGGATTCCGATCTGCAATCTTGCTTGGAGGACCAAATTGACTTGTGTTGGTCGTGGACCTGGAGGCCTCCAGGGGTTCTACGGTCCATTTTGGAGGGTAGTCATCCAGCGGTCCAGCGGTCCAGCGGTGGCGCGTTTTTCCGAGCCCTCCTGGGATTGTCTTGGATGCCTCTCGGGTCCCTCTTGGAACCCTCGGGGATATTTCAGGGCGATGTTGGCGGCCTCTTGGACTGTCTTGAGCGCTTTCAAATCAGAAGTTGCGAGCGAGATGGTTTCGATCATAGCAGAGACTATGCTTTTGCACGATATTGTCCTCTTGGGCTGGGCCCGAGGGCTTCCAGGAGCGGCCCCGGAGACCTTCCAACGGGCCCGTGGGAGCACCTCGGGGCGCGCTGGTGGCTTGATTCCGAACCATGCTGCGTATCGGCTCCGGGGCACTGGGTAGAGGGAAGTCGGGGGGATCCCCCCCAGGACCCCTCTGTTGGGACCCACCCCAGACCCCCCTCTAGTACCACATCCCTCCTCGGAATCAAACGCAAGTTTTTCCGCGTCTTTGCGGCGCCCCAGGACCTTAAATTTTCAACGTTTGTGCCGAGATGGGCGACTGTAAGCACCAACATCTGATTTTGCGGGCCGCGTTTCGAGCGTGGTTCGAGGCCTGCGCCCCACGAGGACCTCGAAGACCACCAGCAGGCCCCCAAGGCCTCCCCAGGAGGCCTAAAAGAGGCCCGAGAGAGACCCCGGCAGGCGCCCTGAGATGCTTGACAACTGCCTCCAAGGAGTTGCCCATAGGCCCCCCGAAAGACCCAACGGGCATCCAAGAGGTCTTCGACCACCGTCCCAGGCACGGTGGCAGGATGGGCCGAAGGCCAGTAGGAGGTGCATACGTGGACGAGGGGCACAGTGGCCCCTTCTCTCTGCCTCCTTTTTCATTCTTTTTTATTTCGTCTTCAGAGGCTCCGCTTCTCCTTCTGCTCCTGTCCCTCCTTGCCGTTGTGCCCTCGTCTTCCTCGCAGTCATCTCCCTGCGAGCTGGGAGCCTTGAGAACCTGAACGCGTGCGAAGCGCGCGATTGTTCGAGTACATCTGTACATGGCTGTATGTTTTGTGCATTGTGTGTGTGTGCGTGTGTGTGTGTGTGTGTGTGTGTGTGTGTGTGTGTGTGTGTGTGTGTGTTTGGTTGTTTGTTTGTTTGTTTGTTTGTTTGTTTGTTTGTTTGTTTGTTTGTTTGTTTGTTTGTTTGTTTGTTTTGTGTGTGTGCGTGTGTGTGTGTGTGTGTGTGTGTGTGTGTGTGTGTGCGTGTGTGTGTGTGTGTGTGTGTGTGTGTGTGTGTGTTTGTGTGTGTGCGTGCTTGCGTGCGTGCGTGCGTGTGCGTGCGTGCGTGTGCGTGCGCGTGTGCGTGCGAGTGCGTGCGTGCGTGCGTGCTTGTATGTACGTGTGTCTGCTGTGTGTGTGTGTGTGTGTGTGCGTGTGTATGCGTGTGTGCGTGTGTGCGTGTGGGTGTGGGTGTGGGTGTGGGTGTGGGTGTGGGTGTGGGTGTGGGTGTGGGTGTGGGTGTGGGTGCGTGCGCGCGTGTGTGTGTGTGTGTGTGTGTGACGAACAGATGGTTGGGGAACGGAGGTCGCGGGATCCGGCAGGCGTCGGGATTGCCGCCGCTCGTCGAGGACCACACCTCGTCCGTGGTCGGCCGCGTGCAGGACCCGTGGAGCGGGGGGCAGGACGTGCCGCTGCCTCCGCTCCTGCGCTCTCCCTCGCCGCCCGCCGCTTCTGCCTCCGCCGCCGCGTCCACCTCGCCTCCGCCCCCTGCTTTCCATCGGAACCTCCTCGAAGAAGAAACGACGCCAGAAGCGTAAGTCTCGCCGACGGCCATGCAGAATCTCGCCGACGGCGCAGATCTCGCCGCCCTCCTCTCGAAGAAGGGCAGGCGCCACGAACATGAACTTTTGGCGCTCCGCGCGGATCTCTTGGCTCCGCGCTGGGGCCCCCCGGCGGCGCCTCCGGTGCTGCCCCTGGCGCGCTCCGCGCGCCAGAGAGGAGGGTTTGGCGCAGATCTAAGAAATCCGCACGGAGCGCCAGCAGTTTATTTTCAACCCTCCTGTGTTGTGTATTCGTTTTGAGTAGAGCAGTGTGTTGCTCCACCTCCCTCTCCTCCTCCCCCTCCCCCTCCCCCTCCCCCTCCTCCTCCTCATCCTCCTCCTGCTCCCGCTCCTCCTCCTCCTCCTCCTCCTCCTCCTGCTCCTGCTCCTCCTCCTCCTCCTCCTCCTTCTCCCTCCCTCCATTATCCTCCTCGTTTTTTTCTTCTCGCCCCCGCTTTCCATCTGCACTTCTGCCTCCCTTTCGCCCCACCAGGCCACCACCTTCACCTCTGCTGTCTGTCGACGGGCCTTCCCCCCTCCACCTCTCCTGGCGGCGGCCGGGCGGGGTCGGCATCAAGCCCGGCATGTCCCTCTACAGGAGGAATATCCCAAAATAGTCAAAGAGCAATCAGGGGAGCCGCCGCTGCCAGAGCTGGCGCCGTTGATGCCGCCGTCGTTTTTGCTGTCTTGTCGTCGGCTCCACTGCATCGGCTGCCCTCTCAGCCGTCGCGGTCCTCGCCCCCAGTGCTGTCTTGGCCTCTGTCATGGCTGACGCTGCTCTTTTCTGCTGCTGCCGCTGCTGCAGTGATTAGCTGCTGCATTTCCCCCGGTGCCACCATCTGCCAGTCGCGCAGCTTTCCCGCAGCCGTACTGGCCTACCTGTACGGCCTTACTGGCTTGACACAGCCGCTGCCCACGAGCGGTTCTACTGGGCAGTCCTTGGGCAGGCCTGCGCTGGAAGCCATGGACGACAGTGAGCTCCCCAAGGTCAGAGATCTTAAAATGGGGCGTACAGTTAACCCGCATTGTAAGGATGGGCAATCTTCCCAGGGGTACCCGTGCATCCTTGCCTCCTCGGTTCATCCTTGGCCACCTCCGTTGGCCGCGTCCCGCTCGAGAGGCTTCGAAATGGGCGTCCAAGGCCCTTGCATCCTTGTCGCGCATCCTTGTGATACGGGTCGACTGTAGTGGGAGCAGATCGAGGTCAGTTCGATTCGACCCTCAGCCTGCTCTCATGAAGCAGCTCCGCGCAGTGGGGCTCTCGTCGTAGTTCTTTCGATTCCAGTTCGATGGATTCACGGTGACGCTCCCAAAGCCAGGAGCGAGTTTGTTGTTGTCTTAGTAGAGTGGTGCTAGAGGGCTTCAATGGTTAATGGTGGTAGAAGAGGACTACCGGAAAAGCCCCCCACACGAATGACGATGAGCCCAAGGAGGCGGCGGTTTCGCTTGAGACTTTTTTGCACCTTTTTTTGGTAACCGTGTTCTCGCCTCAGCAGCAGCTATATGTTTGGTTCAAACGGCCACGATCTCTCTTGTAATTTACTCGACGCGGAGATCCCTGTATGGGCTTCCTGGGACTCGGTGAGAGGATTTGGGGTGAGTCTAGTCAGGGGCGCACCTTGCACGACAGAGATGCATAATAATCGCTTCAATCTAGATCGGGGCTCCCGAAAGCCAGCGGAACTTGAGAGAGATCCACCCTCCGTTGGCAGCCTGCCTGCTAAACTGGAGCTGGTGCGAGAACGTTCTGAGGAAAAACAACTGCGTGTCTACACAGCGTGTGCGGAGCAACCCTGGCGTCACCCCCCGACCTTGGCCGAATAGAACTTACGTTTGGCGTTGAAGCCAGAGGCGGGGGACGAGGGAGGGAAATGTAGGAGGAGAGGAAGGGGGAGGGAGGAACAGGAAGGATGACGAAGAGGGGAGGAATTCTCGAGTCGCCAGCGAAGGGCAGTAAGAAGATAGTGGGCTCCAAGATCCCGATCGGCACCAAGACAACAGGACTGGCTCTCTGAGTTCTCCTCCTCGTCCTTGCCCTCATCCTCTTCCCTCCCCTTCCCTCCCTCGTGAACCGTCGATTGCACCCCATCGACGCGCCAAAGGACACGTGTGTGTGTGTGTATGCGTGTATGAGCACAGCTTGTATCGTGCCTTAGTTCCCTTATCCCACGGACCGTAAGTTGTGCTCTATATCAACGGCACTTCGGAGTTATACTGTCGAACTCCAGAGCTGAAGTTGGCCGCTGTGGAAGCACCGCTGAGCGCCCGATCTTAGCCGCGGTCTCGGAGGCCGTTCGGGGATCTTGAGGGATAAGATGCAGTCCCCAGGCCACATCCGGCGGCTGCCTTTTCTTGAGTCCCACGAACCGCGTGCTTGTGATCATGGAAGCCCGATCCTGCGGTCCGACCTGGTACCGTCTGGCCCCGTGGCAGAGCGGCAGCGCAATTTTCTAACGCCATCACGTTGGCCGACAGTATACGTTTCAGATGTTGTAGTCTGTCATGCGGTGACCGTCCGTCTGCCCAGGACTTGTTGAGTTGGGCTCCAAAAAGACGTTGATTGCTTCAGGGGGCAAGGCGCCCATAGTCCCCGACGACTCGCGGAACAAGGACAAGGACAAGGACAAGTCTGGGAAGGACAAGGACAAGGACAAGGCCGGGAAGGACAAGGACAAAGACAAGGACAAGGCGGGCAAGGCGAACAAGGACAAGGACAAGGACAAAGACAAACTGAAGAAGGGAAAGAAGACCCAGAAGTGGGGCAAGACTCGAAGAATAAACACCTTCATAAACATAAACTTTTGGCGCTCCACGCGGATTTCTGGGATCCGCGCTGGGGCCCCCTGGCAGCACCTCCGATGCCACCCCTAGCGCGCTCCGCGCGTCAGGTAGTGGGGTCCAGCGCAGATCCAAGAAATCCGCGCGGAGCGCCACAAGTTTATGTTCATGGCGTTCTTTCTTCTTCTAAAGACGGGCGGCAAGAGCTACTCGCGCTCGGCTCGGGCGGGGGTGCAGTTCCCGGTCGGGCGTTGCCACAGGCGGGTGGGGGGCGGTCTGCGAGAACGGGACGTTGACCCCTCCACATCTCGCGGGTTTAGTTGCAGCCAATGAAGGGGCCCAGGGAGACACACATAGATACACACAATTCCAAGGATCCTCCATATTTTCGCATGTACATCTATGTATACATACATATAAATATATATGTTCTGGGGTTTCGTTCTCCCCCCCACTTCCACGTGTTCCCACATTTTCCTGGGAAGCGACGGATCCACTGTGCCCGTGTGTGATTTCCCTCGCGAGCCAGGCCTGCAGCACGCGGACCGCTCTGGACTCGGAGGAGGCTTTCTGGTTCTCGGGCTGCCCCTCGGACCTGGGCTGGGGAACCTCATCGTGGCCGCGAGGCTCGCCGTGGGCGGAGACGCCCCCCCCCCTGGGTCTTTCGGTTTCGCTCCGCATCGCAGCACGTGCTCCCCGTGTCCCTCGAGAGGGGGCGGACCTTCTCGGGAGGAGGAGGAGGAGGAGGAGGAGGAGGAGGAGGAGGAGGAGGAGGAGGAGGAGGAGGAGGAGGAGGAGGAGGAGGAGGAGGAGGAGGAGGGAGGAGGAGGAGGAGGAGGAGGAGGAGGAGGAGGAGGAGCATGCAGCAGTGCAGTCGAAGGCACGGTAGCACCGAGCATCAGAAGGGTGGGTGAAAGGCGGGCCCGATCAAGCACCGAGCCCGCAGCACATGAATGTCGGCGCCCTGGGCCTTACGGGGTTACAAGGCCAGGACGCCGCGCCTAGTTAGTCGGAGCTCCCCGAGTCCCAACCCGCCTCCACCGCCTCCGCCCCCCCCCCCAGAGAGCGACGGCGGCGCCTCCTCGAGGCAGTGGGCCCGACGGGCGAACTCCAAACGTCTGAGACGGGCGTCTCTTGTGATCTTAACCTTGGAGACGCCTCTTCACCCCTCCTTGAGTCCACGACAACGGCCGTCAGAGAGCACAAGAAAGCATGCGCATTCAGTGCATAAAATGACTCGGCCATAGCGAACAGGACGGTGTTCCAGCTGTCGGAGCACATCAAGGCCATCCACGTGGGCCGAGCTCCCAGGGGCAGCATCCTGGGAGAGAGACGGCCCCAGGACCCCAGAGGCCGAGGAGAAACCCCGGGGATTTAACACCAACAACTTGATCGCATGGTCACGGGCGCAGCAGCCTCAGCATGATGCGGGCCCTGCTCAACATGAGGACTGAGCATAAGCCCCGCAGGCCCGCCGACGCCCTCAGGCCTCAGGTCCCAAGGCGGCTCCATGGGGCGAGGGGGAGGAGGAGGCCCCAGGAAGAGGCGGACCCAGAACCACATCAGCAGGGGCGACCCGGGCCGAGGGTTCCTTGACGGAACCTGGGCCGGCTGACGCTCAGCGAACGAAATCGCCGACCTATCTTCCACAGCACGCAGTGATGGTGGCGATGTCTCGATCAGTTGGGCCGCAACTCCAAACGCTTGGACTGCCCTGGAAAGAACATCCCAGGTCTGCTAAATCTAGGTGATATACGCACGCTCGACCTGGACAACAGCATCAGGTACTTTGTGCATACAAGAACCGACACGAGCAAACTAATCAGCCCAGAGGTTGCCACACAAATCCTCAATGTCCCGCCGAGACAGGTGAATCACATCCTCCAGCTCACGATGGGCAGGGACCCACTTGAACCTGGGCCTGGGTCGGCCCTCCGTGCACGCAACAATCTCACGCCAAATGTTGGCATGGAGAGACTCGGCCCCAGCTAGTGACGAATCCCAAGAGGCTCCCTCCTTGACAAAGGCAAGGTGATCACTGCACACCTCGACGCCTGGGGGTGCAACCTTGATCGCCAACATAAGAGGAGGAGGAGGAGGACGAGGAGGAGGAGGAGGAGGAGAAGGAGGAGGAGGAGGAGGAGATGGTTTTCCTCTCCGATTCCTGGGCCTTCCCCCCAGGTGGAGAGTCAGGCTGTTCGTGCCCCCAGGTTGCTTGCGCCCTGTCTCTTGCGCTGTTTGACAGGTACATCAAGAAGTACATCTCTGCTGACATGCGCGTCGGTGGCACGGCTGGTGTGTACGTGGCCGCGGTAATGGAGTATTTGGCAGCCGAAGTTTTGGAGCTTGCCGGGAATGTTGCCAAGGACATAGCCTAAGCACGCATTCTCGTACGTGATCGTCTTCTGCCGTCGCTGTGCTTCCCCCTTGTCTTCCCCCCCTATCCAACTCCAATTGCTGGCAAGGTGTGCAAGATCACATCTGTCTTTGAAGGGTACCCGTATTGGAAACGAAAAACGCCATACCACGTAAACTTGAGGCGCTCCGCGCGGATTTCTTGGATCCGCGCTGGCCCCAACCCAAAGGGGCGCCTCGGGCGCCGTCCCTGGCGCGCTCTGGGGGGTCCAGGGCAGATCCAAAAAATCCGCGCGGAGCTCCAACAGTTGATGTTCATGGCTTTTTTTTTGTTTAAAAAATATATAAATTTTCCTTTCTTTTCCTTCTTCTTCTATGTGAAGGGATGTCCTTGTGTTCTTCGTGCTTTTTTCCTCATCTTAGAATTGTCCTCGGTTCGTGCATCTCCATGGGGGTCTCAAGCCTTCGGTGATGGGTCATCTCTCTTGACCCACGCTCCTGTGGCCATGCCTCGACTGTGGTCCTCCTCCTGCCCGCTCCTCGAAGGGTTAAGTCGGGCGTGCCCCCCCACAGGAGGAACAGTTAAGACTAGTTAGAAATAGTATGGTGACTAATCTTCGGTCTCCTTTGAATCTGTTTGATCATGTTTTGATTATTGTATGTTGTTCTTCCAACGTGCGCCTGTAGGAGGACATGCCCGACCTAATTGTAGGGGGGAGCGGGGGCACGCTGCGGAAAGCGTCGGAGTCTGGTTCCGTAACTCTTGGCATCGTTCAGGCATGCGCATGTTTTCTTCGGTCGGCGAGGGCCATCGATGAGGATTTTTGATCACCTTGCGTAAAATCACATCCTGGCGAAGGACCCAACCATATTTTTCGGTGGAGCTCCCCTGTGGGGCTACAAAACATGTGAGGGGTGTGCCGAGATGGGTGGCGGGGATGTATGTGGTTACAATTTCCGGGGCCTCTGGTGGGGCTCCCTGTGGGGCCACGCAGCGTGTGAGGGGTGTGCCGAAATGGGTGGTGCGGACGCATGTGGGCCCCGCCACTGGGGCCTTCGGTGGAGCTCCCTGTGGGGCCACGAGGCGTGTGAGGCGTGTGCCGACATGTGTGGTGCGGACGCATGTGGGCACCGCCATTGGGGCTTTCGGTGGAGCTCCCTATGGGGCCACGAAACGTGTGAGTGGTGTGCCGAAATGGGTGGCGCGGACCCTTGTGGGCACCGCCATTGGAACCTTAGGTGGGGCTCCCTGTGGGGCCACGCAGCGTGTGAGGGGTGCTCTGAAATGGGTGGTGCGGACGCATGTGGGCACCGCCACTGGGGCCTTCGGTGGAGCTCCCTGTGGGGCCACGAGGCGTGTGAGGGGTGTGCCGACATGTGTGGCGCGGACGCATGTGGACACCGCCATTGGGCCTTCGGTGGAGCTCCCTGTGGGGCCACGAGGCGTGTGAGGGATGTGCCGAAACGGGTGGCGCGGAAGCATGTGGGCACCGCTATTGGGCCTTCGGTGGGGCTCCCTGTGGGGCCACGCAGCGTGTGAGGGGTGCTCTGAAATGGGTGGCGCGGACGCATGTGGGCACCGCCACTGGGGCCTTCGGTGGAGCTCCCTGTGGGGCCACGAGGCGTGTGAGGGGTGTGCCGACATGTGTGGCGCGGACGCATGTGGACACCGCCATTGGGGCCTTCGGTGGAGCTCCCTGTGGGGCCACGAGGCGTGTGAGGGATGTGACGAAATGGGTGGCGCGGAAGCATGTGGGCACCGCCATTGGGGCCTTCGGTGGAGCTCCCTATGGGGCCACGCAGCGTGTGAGAGGTGTGCCGAAATGGGTGGCGCGGACGCATGTGGGCCCCGCCATTGGGGCCTTCGGCGGAGCTCCCTACGGGAGCACGACACGTGTGAGGAGTGTGCGGCATGTGTGGCGCGGACGCATGTGGGCACCACCATTGGGGCCTTCGGTGGAGCTCACTATGGGGCCACGAAACGCGTGAGTGGTGTGCCGAAATGGGTGGCCATGGTGGTGATGGTGACGGCGATGATGATGCTGCTGCTGCTGCTGATGATTCTGATGCTGATGATGATGCTGATGATGTTGATGCTGCTGATGATGGTGTTGATGATGATAATGCAGCTGATGATGATGATGCTGATGGTGGTGGTGATGATGATACTGATGCTGATGCTGATGATGTTGATGCTGTGGATTTTGATGATGATGAGGAGGAGGTGCAGGATGATGATGATGATGATGATGATGATGATGATGATGATGATGATGATGACGATGCTGATGCTGATGATGATGCTGACGATGCTGCTATCGATGATGATGCTGATGGTGATGATGATGACTATTATGATGATGTTGATGATGCTGACGGCGACGATGATGCTCATGATGATGGCGATGCGGTTGGTCATACTGATGACGGTATTGATGCTTATGATGATGGTGATGGTTGTGGTGATGATTATGTTTCTTATGCGGGCGATGATGGCGATGATGATGATGATGCTCCTGATGATGATGATGATACTGATGATGCTGATGATAGTCACGTTGATGATGATGCTGCTGCTGATGATGATGATGATGTTGATGATGATTATGTTGATACTGATGACACTGATGATTCTGAAGGAGATGATGATGTTTAGGATGCTGCTGTCGATTATGCTGATGATGATGCTGGTGATGGTGGTGATGATGATGCTGACGATGCTGTTGCTGCTGACGATGATGCAGATGCTAATGATGATGATGATGACGATGCGGATGCTGATGATGATGCTGCTGATGATGTTTATGCTGATTATGATGATGATGTTGATGCTGATGACGATTCTGATGATTATGATGATGGTGGTGGTGGTGGTGGTGGTGCTGGTGGTGATGATGCTGATGATGCTGCTGCTGCTGCTGCTGATGATGATGATGATGATGATGATGATGATGATGATGGGAGGGAGGAGGGAGAGGAGGAGAGGAGGTGTCGTAGGGCGTTGTCTCTTCAAAGCGAGGGCCCATCACCACAGGATGCTTGGGAACAAGCAGCCCGCACGCCATCGAAGCATTCATGGGGAATGGACGTCCGAGCGATGGCACGAGATCGAGCAACCGCATATGCATCAAGGCGCGTGCGCGGATCAGCGACGGGTCCCGTTTCCATGCGCAAATCGGAGCGCACCGTGGACAAGTCAGGCGGTATTGTTTTCATGGCTTCGAGGGGAGGCGTCGATGGACGAGCAATTTTGATCATCCCTTTCCCCACGTCCACGTGTCAGGTCCACAGATATCACATGCATGTTAGTGTGTGCTTCACAAAGGACCAGAAGACGAAACGCATCACCCCCCGCCACCTGCAGCTTGCGATACGTGGTGACGATGAGCTGGACGGTCTCATCAAGGCGACCATTGCAGGCGGCGGCGTCGTTCCGCACATTGACAAGTCCCTGCTGACGACCAAGTCGAAGGCAAAGAAGCAGAAGATTGACGCCGACGGTACTGCTGGGTTCTGACCGTTAGCTCCGCCGACCGCACAAGCCTGAAGGGGAATAGGCTTGAGCTCGCTCGGGAAGGAATGCAATCCCTGGGCCTGACCACTCAGGCGCTACATTGCGCATTTTCATGGGATCTCGCCCTTCTGCTCCCTCTCGGGGTGTGAGTGCAAGCGAGGGTGAGGAGGAGGACGAGGACGAGGAGGAGGAGGAGGAGGAGGAGGAGGAGGAGGAGGAGAAGGAAGAGGAGGAGGAGGGGGAGGAGCAGCATGATAATGAGCAAGAAGATGACGAAGTCACCTCTCCCCCGCCGCCCTAATCCCCAACATTTTTTTTTCTTCTTGCCGCAACCCCCGCTGGGCTCATGGTCAGATGAGCGGCCCATCTAGCCCGTTCAGATCCTTGCAATTCAGAGGACCCGCGCGAGGCCCAGATGAAACCTCATTGGGGCTCCGACTGCATCCCCAGGCGAGATTCCGAACGAGATCCAGAACACTCTGGCACTCGGGCTCCCAAGAAGCTTCCCGAACACGAGGGTTATCCTTGGATTCCCTGCGGCCGGGGAAACATCGTGGGACGTTGCGTTTTCTCAGAGGCTCATCTTGAGCTCAAGACGCTGAAGCGAGGGCCACTTCGGGCTCGGGAGGGGCTCCGGTTCCGGGCCGCTCCCTAGATTCCCGTCGGGGAGCCTGGCCGCGGCCCCGAAGCTCTCCGCGGGCAGACGAGCCCCCTTGGTCCTGATTCAGGGCTCCTCCCCTTCCTCCTCCTCCTCCTCCTCCTCTTCCTCCTCCTCCTCCTCCTCCTCCTCCTCCTCCTCCTCCTCCTCCTCCTCCCCTCCCTCTGTCCCGCGACGGCGGCATGGTTTTCGGCCACGCTCGTTCGCCGGACAGCGTCTCGCCGCTGCCGGCTCGTCTTCGCAGCTTGGCCTGGGTCAGGGACACTCGTCCGCAGGTCCCTGTTGCTTTAAGTCGTCGTTTGGGACACGGTCACCGTGGTCGGGTGACGCAGGGCTCCTCACGGTGAGCACGATGGCTGCGGTCGCCCGGTCCTGTCCTCCCCCGGGCTCTCGCCCCTGCCTGGTGCTCGGCCCGTCCCGGGCCCCTCGTCGGCTCCTTCGCCGCGCGGTCTGCGAGGGCGTCGGGGCTCGACTCCGACCCGCGGCCTCGTCGTCCTCCCCTTTCCCCCCCCCTTTTTCCTCGCCTCCCCTCCAACCCCAGGAGTGGAAAACACACACAGACACAAGGAGTCGTCGATTCCCAAGCAAATAGGAAAAACTATGGGAATTGGAGGGGGGAAGACAAAGACCCGGAAAATATGGGAAACTATGGGGAATCCTGTTATTTGTGTCTATTCATTTGTGTGTCCCAGGGCCCCTTCACAATCCCCTCCTCCCTTCCGCCCTCCCATTTTCGCCCACCTACAGTAGTCAGACCGCATGGCAAGGATGGGCAACCTTCCCATGGGTACCCTTGCATCCTTGCCTCCTCGGTTCATCCTTGGCCACTCTCGTTGGCCGCGCCCCGTTCGAGAAGCTTGAAAATGGGCTTCCAAGGCCCTTGCATCCTCATGGCGCGTCCTTATGATACGGGCCGACTGTATCCAGCTCGCCCCCTCCCCTCCCCGTTCCGTCTGTTCCTCCGTCCCTCCTCCCGCTCCTTCTCCTCGCGGTTCCCATGCTCATGGGTGTCTCACCGAGCACAGATCCTGGCCTCCAGGAGCGCGGCCTCGGCGTGTGCGCCTTTGTGGCCTCCGCCCTGCGCCGCTGTACGTATTTGGCCCGTCTGCCGAGAGCAGAGGAAGATCGAACGGCACCAGCCTAAACACTCGGGGGTCCACGCGGATTTCGCTGGGGGCGGCGGCGGAGGCGCCGCCAGAGGGGTCCACCGCCGACCCAAGAGATCCGCGCGGGCCTCTGGCATGTCAGAGTCAACCCGCATGGTAAGGATGGGCAACCTTCCCGAGGGTACCTCTGCGTCTTTGCCCCTTCGGCCCGCCCTCAGCGACTCTCGCTGGCCAGCCTCGTCCGAAACACATCAGCTTGGCCCTCCGAGACCCTCGCATCCTCACCGTCCATCCCTACGATACGGGTCGACGGTGTGCTCGCGCCGTTTCCTGTTCCCCTGGGGGAGGGCCGGAGGGGGCCTCGCGCCCGTGCAGAATTCGCGCGCTCGCCCCCCCATGCTGCACGCCCGGCTCGCGGCGCGCTCCGCGTGGCCGCCCCCTCGCCTGCCCGCTCCTCCCCCTCCCCCCGTTCCTCGGCGTCGTCGCCGGGCGGGCCTCTGGCTCCTGCCTCGGCCCCATCTCAGTCGATGGTCCTCGGTGGGGTATAGCCAGGACCCCGGGTAAGGGGACCCAGTTAGCGGTAGGGCCCTGGGGCCCCTCAATTGGCCAGATCCACTTTACCAGATTTGCCGTAACCGATGTTTTTCGGGTGACGGCAGTTCCGGTCAGTGGAAATGGGGCGGGGGGGCGCCCCCGGTACAAATCACGAAGCCAGGTTCCACTAAACCCAGTCCTGCCGACGCCCGACTCAGGACATGTGCTAGCCCAATGTGTGCTCACCCACTCCGGCTTGTGCCGGCGCCTCGTCTCCTTCACCCGCGTCGTACTGATGGGCTTCGGCGGGCCAGCACACGTTGGCGCGCGAACACGTTGGTCCCGAGGATCATCGACTCAGACTGGAAGAGATACATCCCGAGGTCCGCACGGATCTGCTGGGTCAGCGCTGGGCCCCCACGGCGGCGCCCGAAGGCGCCGCCCCTGGCGCGCTCCGCGTTCCAGGGGAGGGGCGTCCAGCGCAGGCGGAAGAGATCTGCGTGGACCCTCGGAAGTTTATGGTCACGCTGTCCTTTCTTGTTCGTGGCAGTCTCGTCTCTCGGGTCTCCCCCCCCCACGCCACCCGCCCCCTACGTCGCGCGGCGTTTTTGGATAACCTCCCCCCTCCCTTCCCTCTTCGTCTCCCCCACCCCTTCTTCCCTCTTCGTCTTCCCTTCCTCCTCTCTTCGTCCCCCCTCCTTCCCTCTTCGTCTCCCCCTCGCTGCTGGTCTTGCCCTCCTTCCCTCCTCGTCTCCCCCGCCTCCACTTCCTCCCAGCCCCAGGGCGGTGCGGGGATGGCTGCCGAGGGGACCTCCCGCGGGAAAGGACGAGCTGACACCAGAAGGGTTCTGTTGCTGCTATTGCTGCTGCTGCTGTGTCTTTACGCGCCAATCGTTGAAAGCAGGTATTTTTTGGAATCCCAGATCCCAGTCTACCTTAGGCGCCTTCCTACTTCAAGGATCGGGCTGCCTCTCCTCTTCATCTTCAGGGGGCGAGCGGAAGCCTAGTATACTTCCAGCCTTATGATGTTCCAACCTGCTTTAGCCTTGACCACCAGAAAGAATTTCGAGCGCCAGAAAAGTACCGAATCTCGAGGATTTTCGCGTGTCGGGCCCTGGGGGGCACTCGTCCGACACTGTTTCGACACTGTTTCGACACTCTTTCGACACTTTTCCGGGTGCTCGAAATTATTTCTGGGATGGTATCCTTAAGTACGATGGGAGCAATATAATTCCAGCGTCTTCCTACTCAATATTTCTACCCACTTCTTCCGACCGACGGGCAGCCTGTGAATAGCACGAACCCCAGCTTTGTCTTCGGTCCATCGTTTCCCGCTGGGCACGGGAGAGGAGGTCGCAGCGTCAGCTTTTGCCACAGCGCGAGGGGGTGCCACATCACTGCGTCCAGATGGTATTCGCGTAAGCTTTCTATTAACCTGTTGTAGCATTCTTAATCGGTGTGGTGCCCCATACCCGAAGTAATTGTTCTCCATTTCTATTGTATGGGGTTATTGTTTTTTGTATCGCAGCCCCTCGCCTCATTCGCCTCTCTCTTCCTCTCTCCTCCATCCAACCCGCACTCAGGCTCATCCGCACTACGACTCATCGATAATACTACACACTCATTTTCAGACTCACTCATATGTGGTCAGACTCACAATCAGACTCATTCGTACCTTTCCAGAGTCGCTCGGTTTGCCCAGCCGGGTGTCGACCAGGTTTTTTGAATTGAACGCCCCTGATGGGGGCACCGCCCCGCCTTTTCTGAATCGTGGATTTTGGGGCATGCTTATTCTTTGACTTCTCTGCGTTTCGCCTGTATCCACGTTTGGAGTCGGGTTCCCTCTCGGCTTATGTTGTCGTGACGGCTGGGTAAACCCGCAAATCTTGTCCCACATGTACAGCCACATTGCTGTGATAGGGGGTCAGGCTTTTCTGGGGGCCCGATTCTTCGGCGATTCCACGTTGAAGGAGAGGCTTCTTTGTGACTTTAATCTGTGTTTCCTGGGAGGTCTTTCGGGGGTTCTGGGCGTAATCTGTTGTGGCCTTCCCTTCGGTGTGTCGGTGGCATTCGTGGAGTTCGCCAGGGGCGTCTTCGGGGCCTTTGCGACGTCAGATCTCCAGTTTTGGAGGGGCCAGAACGAGCCGAAGAACTTGACCTATCCCCGGCTCGTGCTCTCTGGGTGCGTGTCGCGTTTGCCGCCGCTGTCGCTGTTCGCTCGCCCCCCCCCCCCCGCGCCGGCAGCGCCCTCTGCCTTCCTGTTCTTTCCCTCGACGCAAGCCTGCTGGAAACCGAAATCTGGGGCCCACTCTGGCGTCTATCCAGCTGCCTGCGGCAAGTCCCGCCGCCGTGCCAGTCCAGCATGCTCGGCGGCTCTCGTTCGAGGGGGCGCTGGAGGGCGCGGTTGCGAGGGATGATCAACAGGATGACGATGATGAGAATGAGGGCCAGGATCAGGATGGTTATGATGGTGATGATTGTGATGGTGATGGTGATGGTGATGGTGATAGTGATGGTGACGGTGATATGGTGGTGGTGGTGGTGGTGGCGATGGCGATGGCGATGGTGATGGTGATGATGATGATGATGATGATGATGATGATGGTGATGATGGTGATGATTCTGAGGATTACGATGATGCTGCTGCTGCTGCTGCTGATGATGATGATGATGATGATGATGATGATGATGATGATGATGATGATGATGATGATGATGATGATGATGATGATGATGATGATGATGATCACGGTGATGGTGATGATGGTGATGATGGTGATGATGATGCTGATGATGCTGATGATGACCATGATTATCATGATGATGACCGTTGGGATATCGTTGGAGGTCCCCACGGTGGCCTGTTGCAGGCAGTTTTGAGGCCCCTTGGGGGAAATTTAGGTTTGTTGGGGCTCTGTTGGGGCGTTTGGGGCCAGGGGTCCTTCCGCGGCTCTTTGGAGCGGGAATTTGGGTTTGTTGGGGCTCTGTTGGGGCGTCAGGGGCTCCTCGGGGGGCCCTGTTGGGGGTCTTTGAGGGCCCGCTTGGGAGCTCATGGGAGCCTCTTGGGGCCATGCTGCACAGGAGTTTTCACAGGGCTGGGGTGAACGATGGGAACGGGAGGGACAAAGCGCATGCTCAGGCTTGCCTTCGGCTCCCGGGGGGTTCTCGGACGGTGCCCGACGAGACGGACGAAGAGGGCGCCCAGAGGAGGCCTAGACGGCCGAGGAAGGCGCCGTGAGGCTGTCGGAACGGCCCCAGAGAGCATCCGCAGGCTCGAACATGCCCGCCAGAGCCCGCGGAAGTGCACGGGAGCTCCAAAAGAGGCGGAAGGGGAAACCCGAGACGGCCAGAGTCGTTCAAGAACAACTAGATGTTCTACGATGTTTCTTGCTTGTTGGGACGTGTGGGCATATGAGACTTGGAGAAAGGTGGGGAGGCATCCAGAACTTCCGAAGGTGGCCCGAGGGACGGCGCCCAGATCAGACGAGAAGGGCCCGGGGATGTCACCCGAACCGGCCCATAAGGCTCCCAGAGAGGTTTCTGAGAGGACTTGGCGGCGCCTGGCAACCCAACGCGTACAAGGGGGTTCGTTCTGGGACGGAAGTGGTGGCCAGGAAACGCCCCGGGGCGCAGCCGGGGCCCCTGGACCGGCAGAATGGGCGGGTTTGGGGAGGATTTTAGGAGGGGTTATGAGGGCACAGAGGCAGGGGTAGATACGATAAACGCGCTGTTGAGTGGATCTACAGAAAGCTTACCTGGAAGACCATGCTGTGGATCTCACACGCCGTACCCCGCCGTACCCGGTGGGGCGGCGGATCGCTTCGCTCATTCCGCCGGCCCATTTCACATCACGTTGGCTGCATGGTGGCGTGTCCGTGCCCATGGGGAACGAGAGGGCAGGCAGGACTGTCCTCGAGGATCTCATTGAAGATATGGATCGCACCCTGTCGAAGAAAGCGGATCGAGAGCGCCAAAACCGTTCAAGAGAGCTCCACCAGAGTTTCGAAACGTACCTGTTTGTGCCGTTTTGGAACGATCTTGAGGCCTCTTGGGCCGTCGACGGCGGTCGGCAGTTCGAAAAGGCGTTGCCGCCCAAATCTTCCGAAAACCCAAGCCAAACCAATGATGTTAACGTCTTCGGGGCCTTTCGAAGTCCTCTTGGAACCCTCGCGGAGCGTCTTGGGCTTCTCTTGGGCAGTCTTGGGACCGACGTTGGCCATCTTGGAACGCTCTTGTCCTGAGGCCGTTGGGCGTGCCACCCTTTTGGCGCCTCATTGCGGCGTTCGGTGGGCCCCGAGACCGCGCCCAGGAGTTTCGGCATCTTGGACCCGACCTTGCTGGGACCTTGCCAGGGTATTTGTCGTCCGCGGACCCCCAGGGGCCGCCACGCGCGCGCGAGCTAGAAACATCCTTGAATTCCAGCCGGAGATTTAGCACGCCTCTGGCCCGTTGGGCCGGCGAATTCCGCGGACCGGTTCGCGCCCAAAACGATAGCTGTCTTTCTCAGGACCCACAGAACTGCAGCGTGTGACGGTTCTCTGCCGCAGAGCCCAAAGGTTCTGACACGAAACAGCTCGCTTCCCCAATCGAA